GCTTGTCAGTTGGCCGTTCCATGTGGGTTTTCTATGGATGGACCTTCTTAAAGTTCCGTCAGCTCTCCTTGTAAGTTCAACATCAAGAAAAGGGATTTTAGATTCGTTTTCAATTTCAAGAGTGAACTTTGTAGCTGGATGGCATTTGTTGAATATTTGCAGTAACTGATTGAGATCGTGGCCGTCATCACAGATAATGAAGATTTCGTCCACATATCTAACATACAGTTGGAAATTGTCAATAGTTGATTTGAGTGGGCCGTTCTCGAGGCTTGCCATGAAGCAGTCACCTGAACTTACTAATTGTATTTTCGTTTGACAAATTTAATGTACACACACATACAAAACAACCATATATATTTGCGATTGTACAGCTATGAAAATGAATTCGCCGAAAAGAGACTCTTCGCTGAACTACTTGTCTTTGTCTATTAATATTTTATCAAGAAATAAGAGTATAAAAAGAGGTCTCACATCCCATTAGTGAACTGAATGATTTATCTACATGTTCGGTATCTTCATCAAGGATGTTGGAAATAAATAACTGTTGAATATTCAGACTAACTATACAATGACTACTCCAAATGTTATCTGACCACATAATACAAATCTACAAACGTAGCACTTCTATTAAATTTTGGGTTGCAATGGGATTCAAACAGAAGACATTCGGATTGCCACCTTGGTACTCTACCAGTGGCAGTGCATTTTATCATTTCACTACAGTTAGTACATGTATTGCCTAGATGTCGCACAACTTAATGATTCACACCTATCCATTGATCAGCATACTAGGTGAAGAAGGCAGAGGTAGGTGGTGAAGATACCTAGATACATATAACAACTAGCCTCAGTCACCATCAACGGTTGGAATCTAAAAGAAGTTAGCTGTTTGTCGGTATTAGATGGATGGAGACAGTCTGCTGGAAGCCTTCGACGACGTAGGTTTCGTGCTAGTTGGCACTCACCAGTCAGCAAGTCGTATCTGCAACCTCGAAGAACCCATGTCTCTTCTGAGATTTGAAACCGCGTCACCCAGTGCCGCCTTCAGTCAGAGACATCACCACTGAGCTTTCAGCCTCGCAATTGACCTCCTGTAGCACGACACCTAGGTGCAAGGCTTCCTGCCGACTGTCTTCAACCATCTAATATCAACAATTCACAGTGCACCGTGATGACGAGCCACCGAGCTTGTTGGTAGCCACATTGCAAACTTGACTGATGGAATTCAGTCTGCACCGAATGAAGGACTAGACACACACAACACTAGTTATTGACTAGTGTCCTATCAAAAGTTGTGTGCGTCGGTGGCACAGTGGTTAGGACTCTCGTCGACCATGCACATGGTCCGGGGTTCGATCCCCTGCCGGCGCACACCCGATATCTATGGTCGGCCTGAATTTGGGCTACCGATATCCATGCTGAGAATTCCATACTTGTACTGAAAATACGGTGTGGAATCAAGCTGTAAATCAAAATAAATAAAATAAATAAATAAATCTTCCACTCACCTGGCCATGAAACGTATTTTCAACTACAGGCGACATGAATGAAGATGTCAAGGCCAGCCAACCAGTATCGGAAAAGCGTTTATTAATCTTAAATCAGTGTGAAATTCTTCTGCATTCAGCTTGAGGAACAAGATCCACTTCTCCAGCGCTAATTTACTTCTATATGGTTTGAAAATTTGTCACTCACATCTCCTAAAACATTTCCAACAGGCTATGGATTTGAATCAACAGCTGCCCCCTTCACTGACTCCATTATCGAAGGTGAAATGGCTCACCAGAAAGCGTAAGCAACAAAGAACGTTGGCAGCGAACAAATCAAGAAGTTTTTTCCCAATGAATAGGATAAAGGAAGTGAATATATATCAGACACACGCTGGGGAGACTACTGAATGAAATCACACACACAAGGGGAACCAGAGGGTCCGTTTCAGAATTATGAAATGGAAGCATATGTAATGAAGCAATGAATGATGACTAAAACAGTGGGTGTAGAGATCTCATAGCTCAACTAGAAGAGTGCTGAAATGCTAATCTGGAGTCTGCTTTACCATACACGTCAGCATTTCACCTTTAGCTAACACTTATCACATGAACAGTAAGTAGTCTTCTAACTCAAAACTATGCCAATTAGTCCAAAGCATCAATCAACAGACTAAAAATTCTTTTATGCCATTAAAGTTATGTTGAACATTTTTGCAAACACTAATTTGTTTAACCTTGGAATTCTTAAAAACATTGCACGCTAATAATAATAATAAACATGAACTTGTAAACCAAAGAAAAAAATAAACATATAAATAAAAATATTTAGAGAGAAAGGCTATTTTATAGCCACAAAGTGTGTTTTCTAATTTTTTTTAAATAAACAAGATTAATGAACATTTTTTTTAAAAAGTAGGCTTGGTAAAGAGAACAGAAAGTATTGACCATTGTTTATTTTTTCACAAAATTTACACTTCACATTGTGGTTTAAACTAACTGATGGTTTGCTGATTAGGTCATTGTGTCAGCGTAATTTTTACAGTTGAAAATGATATGCCAAGTTCACTCTATTTCGTGTTGTTTTAATCATCTAAATGCGACCTTGAATTGCCCGCCAATTGTGGACACGCGCTCTTTTTAAAATAAATCACTACGCATTTATCGATCGAAATGAGGGTAGTATGTATGACCTTCAGATAATGAAGACTAATGCTAAATTAAGGAGAAGAATCACTTTATTTCTGGCAGGTGCAAGCTTCTCCAATGACCTTGGAACACTCAGTTTTAGCAGGGCAATGAAATCGATTAAATAACTCTGTATATTAATGAATTGGAGATTTCATGCAGAAATATAGGAGATGGCGAAGTTTGGGGGAATTCAAACTTTAAGCACTAGTAACTACCGATTAGCGAATAATCTTGAACGCATCAATCACAAGAAAACAGTCATTTCTGGGCAATAACCAGTACATATATTTATGGAAATAATGTATGAAAGGGACATCAAAATGTTACACAGGATTCCTATCTCTGAAATGTGAAAAAAATGACTCCCACTTTTCCATAGGAGTGTCAAGAGAGACGTCAAACCACATTCTATAGATGAATTCATGTGTGTGACTGTAAATAACGTACTTTTGAGATCCGTTAATGGCTCTAGTCCTGTTTAAAATCTTTCCCTGAATCCTTAGAGGACCTGCAAAATCACTAGTGTGGTTTATTCTATAGTGAATACATATCCTGAGAACGACAACGATTATATCCTTTCCATTCATCTGTGTATATTATCGATCTTCGTTTCACCAACTGAGTGATAATGGGTGTATAAATTCATCCTACGATACATAAAAAATATCTCCGAAATAACAGCTAGAATATTAAAACCGTTTGAAACAGATATAGCACACAAGCCAGCCAGCAGAATCACTTCACTCAATATTGTGCAAACCAAAACATCCAACAGAAAAAGAAGATAAAATTAATACCATTTACAAAATAAATTGTATTAAACTGTAACAGACATTACATCGGTCAGAGTGGGCGTCCCCTTCGAATCAGAATCCAGGAACACAAATTAGCTGTAAAAAGACACGATTTATATGTATTCTTTAGTATCAATGCATGTAGATAATTATGGACACCGATTTGATTGGGACAATGTGAAAATTTCAAATAGACGAAACACCAGATTGTTATGCCAGAGACTCCAAGAGGCCCGGTGCTCAATTGAATCAGCGACTAACGAACAAATTTACCATTTAATAAAATGTAAATCACGTGACAAAAAAGTTCAAACCCCAAATCAATAGAAATGATCAGCAGAGACGTAAATCAACTAGCAGCCAAGAAGACGGTTGCCAGGAGACACAATTATATCATCAGTCATGAAGAATTTAAATAAGTTCCCTTTATACTAAGACCCGCGCTGAAGGGAGATGTTGTCTATCAGGGGGACGAGGAAAGTTTCGCAAATAAATCAACCAGCTCAGAGATTTACAACTAATTCAAAATCATCCACCCGAGCTACAAATCTCTTCTATTATTTTATGGGTATTAAAGCAGTTGGCTTTCCGTAAAGTGGCATCGTACCTTATTTGTATTTTTCACTAGCACAGTTGTATTTTCTCTTCATCAGAATTGTTTCACCTTCTCTTCCGGATAAAGAAAGAACTAACTCTCTTTATTTTCCAAGATGCAATATCTCTGCAGTGCTGGCACACTATTAAATGGCTGAAATGAGACTATTGTGCGTGTCATCATCGACTGTAGCTGTCGCAGGCTGTTTTAAAACCCAGTAATTACAAGTATACAAAACTCTGGGTTAATGACAGTGTTCCTATGAAATATAGTATCGTCATCAGCTTGTCTTCCCTTACACTAACTCATCTCAAACAAATTTCACAACGATGAACATGTCCATCGAGTGATCTACTGGAGCTTTTTATGCCCATGATACCTTCACAGGAGTGAATTCTTTCCCACATCTAAGCAGTACTGGAAAACTTGGTTTACACCAAATTTCGGGAGTAAGTTCGCTACAGCAGGCATTTCACGCAAATTAAGTGGAACGAAGGCTTGAACTCACTTGAAGAAACTCATTCAACTCGTTCAAGGTCATTGGTATGGTCACACTCCGGCGGTAGCTATTGGTGCTTAAAGTTTAACTTTGCCAAAGACAGTGTAGAATTCACTAATTTCTAAATATTTTTATATTACAAACGGAAGGTACCGTGAATTTGTTAAAGAGAGATAAAGTAGGCCCCATAGTCAAGTTGTTGACAAGCCAGTATTGTAACTTCATTGTCCTACGTTCTACGCTTAATGTTGAAGAGATCAAAACGAGGACGAAACAGCTGTCTAGTGTTTCTCTAGCTGATATCAGTCAATCCGCAGTCAGAGTTGACTTTCTTTTTTGTAGGTAAATATTACTAATACGCACACCTCATCTTATGTTACTCACATTTTATTGATTTGATTTTCTTCTGTTATTTTTTTTTTGCCCTACAGACTAGTAACCTGTGCTATTTATATACTCAGTTTAATATGGATGGCTGTTTTCACAGGAATATTGTATCTACGTTCAATGCCATTAGTATTTGTTTCCATGTTCTTTTTAGGGTGAGTTGATTTTTGTTTTCTTTCAAATTTTATTATTATTATTACTAAGTTTTCGGGTTTTCGAGTAGAATATATATTGACTACCTCGACGGCACATCACCGTTGCAGTGGGTTCCCTCACCCCACTCAAGAACACTCAGTGGGATTCACGGCTACTTACAAGTTGTTATCCTTTTCTCAGCATGATCAACTCTGTGTTACGGTATGTTGTGCAGTTTGCTGAATCTTGTTAGCGATCTACTTTATAACGTGGAACATAATAGTAAAAATAATAAACATTCAAGTATTGGTTTGTAGGGATTTGATTGATTGGTGACTAAATTTCATCATGAGCTGACATCAGTTAGAGGACCATCGACAAACCTGGGAGTACTGGACAGCTGCCTCATCCAAGTTTGGGACTCTTCAGCAGTACGAAACCACCACAGGGGTTCAAATCCAGGACCTTCTGGTTACAAGACTAGCGAGTTAGTAGACCATTAAACCACTGTGACCCGACTCCTCAATGGCCAGTGCATGAATTCCAACTTCTGCGAATTCATGATATAGCGTGACAACTAGCCACTGTCTTCGGCGAGTATTTGTCCTCATACTCTATCTTCTGTACCCTACCAGTCACTACTTCCAATAGAATGCAGTTAACTACCTACATAAATATGGGCCACTCACCAGTGAACATCAGATTGCTATTCAAATATTCTCTTGAGAACTCGTGACCAGTAGGGTACAGCAGGTAGGGTGTGGGTGTAAATCCTTGCCGAAGACATTGGCTAGTGGTCGCTCCATGTCGTGAATTGGCAGAAGTTAGACTTCAAACCCTGACCACTGCATAGGGTCTCAGTGGCTTACTGGTCTACGAACTCGCTTGCCTTGTAACCAGAAGGTCATGGGTTCGAACCGTGGTGGATGAAGCATGCTGATGAATAGTCCAAAAATAGGCTAACGAAACAGCTGTCCAGTACTCCCTGCAGCTCTTCCAGTGGTTCTCTAACCAAATAATAACCAGTGTTTTATGATAATTTTTATTCATAAAAAATCACCCTGAAATCAATTTGGAAGTCTTCTGTAAGTGCGCGACTTTTATCAGTAGGTGCTCACTTCACTCACTGCATATTGAAGATCATCTGGCCGGCCGGCCAGATGAAATAAGCAACAAGAAACTCTGGTAGTCAACAAACTAACCAAGAACATATTGTTCAACAAATATACAAAATAAAATGGAAATGGATCGGACGGATGTTAGGGAGACTATCGGATTACATCAGGTGCGACACCAGTGTCCGAGTGAAAATTGCATAATGGACAACGAGTTGGATCTTTGTCGAAGGTTGACACTGGGAAGATCTTGGGCGGAAGAGATAACAAATTATGGATAGTAGTAGGGTCCTCTAAAGTGGACTACAGAGGATAGAACAAAGCTGAGACATACTGTTGAAGTCCTGAGTTCTCTTTTGGGAATCAAGGAATAAATGATTATAGATGTGTAGAATCTTTTGGCCATATATAAATAGTGGTTGAATTTTGTAGAAGAGGCTTAAACAATGAATAATAATGCATTAATAGTCTTGAGTATAACTTTTATTATCAATTTAATTGGTGGATGGTGACTAGCAGGGGAATGCAGGATGCGCATTTCGTCCTATTTAAGACTCGTCATCTAGATGTACCTGCATTTTCCAGTGAGTGATGATTTTCTCACCAAGCCTCGAACTCAGTCCTCAAGAAGCCGACATGTCAACCTGAGACCAAACACTTCGGTTCAATCAATCGACGGGAAAATCTAAAATTAAATTAAATTTTATTATCAATCTTGGCGTAAAATGTAGCAATAAGTGTCCTGTAGATTGTCCTATGAAGTTAATCTGTGTCTCACTAGCAAGCCGTAGTCTCTGTTTTTTTCCAGACATCTCGATCGTATATTGTAATTTGAATAATTTCGGATTCAAAAATAAAAACCCCAGTGAAATTTTGATTTCCGATGGTGTACTTTACAAATTGGAAATTTTATTCAGCACGTTACCAGTTTGTCTAAGTAGATAGCGAGAATTTCGGTTGTTTGAACTGATTTCGTTCCTTTTGAGCTGAGTGAAATTTAGTGCGCCACTGATAGCGCGAACTGCAGATGAGCAAAAAAGGCTTTTCACTGTTTTTGGCGGCCCAGATCAGGGTAACAGCCAGTGTACTGGTTGATGTAGTTAGTAGTCAACAATTCATCCTAATCAATAAGTAGTACATAGCACAAGCAATGTACAATTTTCGATCGTCTCAATGGATATTCTGTTTCTACAGTAGTATTAACCCGTGACAACGTTTCGAGCACAAACTATTGCTGCTCATAATCATATCAAGTCACTCATTCACACAACTTTTCACTTCATTTATATACTTAAATTTTTCCACATGTCTAACAAACCGAGTAATAGCACTAAATAGCACAAAAAAAGACCTAAACGATGAAATGAAACAGATAGAAGAAAAAGCGTTGGTGTTGAATAACTATCCTATAAAATTCATTAGGAATATCAAAAAAGGTCGAAAAGCAAAATAAAAATAATTGTGAAACTAGTAATGATAACATAAATAAGAGAGAATATAAGTCATCTACTGTTATACCATATAAAGAGAGGACATCTGAGACCCTACGTAGGATTCTCAATGAAGCAGGAATTAGCGTGGCATTCAAACCTACAAACTCACTCAGCTAGGAAAAGCTCTTTAGGTTGAAGGACCCTGTAGATTGACCCACTTAGACAAAATAATACAATTTACAAAACACCTTGCAATGACTGTGAGTTATGTCAACTACATAGGTGAAACTAGTAGGTCGGGGGTAGTCAGATTTTCGGAACAATAGAATTTAGCTAAGGTAAGAATGGTTGACCCCAAGAAGATAAGTCATTTAGAAAAAAGCTCAGCACTGCATGCATTTACACACAAACACACAATGGGATGGGAGAGGGAGGGTTAAAAAATTCTAAGAAGTAATATAGCAAAGTGGGTGGAGAGAGAGATTGATTACTAAATTCTGGTTCATTGAGTCCACACCCAACACATGCAACAGAAATGACTCAATGCAAATGCCAGAGATATGGAAGATATTATTACCACCAGTCAGTCAGTGAAATCAGAGGAGGATAATAAATAATCTCAAAATTCTATTTCAATTCACGTACATCATAACATTCTAACAAGTTACTTATTTCCCGTCTGATTGTGCTTGATTGATAACACTAGTATTATTATTTCTGAATGTACATTATCTTATGTTGATTTTTACTCAAATGTCTAATCAGTTAATACTCATGTATATAAATGCAGCAAGAAAGTTGTGTGAGCGACTTGATATGATTATGAGCAACAATAGTTTGTGCTCGAAACGTGGTCATCAGTTAACATTACTGTATAACAAACACTGTGTGATTTATCAAAATAAAATCTTATCCATAATGGAGTGATACTCTACCACAGTGCCCAAGTTTTATACTTATATCAATAATGGATATTCTGTTTATATAGCATGGAATACAATTCACATAGAGTTTAACTCTGTTTGTTATATTAACTATATAAAAACTATAGATTGGGTATCACGTGTCACATTTCACGTGTTTGTATAAAGGAATCACTGAGTGAATCTCTCACCTTCGAATTATCTTCACGTGAGTCTAGAAGACCAAATAACTCTGACCAACGCTTACTTAAGTTGGACATATTTTCTTTGACCAATCTTGAATCATTATCATCACTTTGGCGTAGTCTAGTTACTGGTGCTTGAATTGACGATGGCGATTCAGTGTTTGCATGTTCCCAGTGGCAAATAGGGCTTTAAGCTAGAGCTGTGAATTTCCCGTAGCAGTGGCGTTTAGTTTTACGGGATGAGGTTGCTAGACTCATGCCCAACCTTCCCTCTTTACCGGGATTACTACTGGCCAGGCGAGGTAAAGGACTGTGTGTACAGTGGCCGGGGATCGAACCCTGGACTACATGCGTGGTCGGCGCACTGCATGTATCCTATGTTAATACAGATTAGGTCTATTGTAGATTTAACGACTGAACAAACTTCTCTTGTATGCAGAGTTTGGCATTTCACGTGTGAATGGGCATTGCTTCCGTGGTTTGAAGAAGTCTGACTTGTACTCTTTTAGCAAGACTCCTGTGTATTCTGTAGATGACTTTGAAGCTTCTTTGTGAGTTGGCTTGATGTCAAGATTCGGTCAGTTTCAAGGACAGAACTGTCAAGGGGTGTTCTGTGTTCTCTTTTAAAAAAAACCATGAAGGTGAGTGTTCAGTGACACGTTTGGATAAGAAACGCTGGATACGGCTGATATGCCTACCTCCAAACGATCAGGTGAAATGAAAGGTACACAACGGTAGCTTATTCTTCACTTTCATAAGAATAATTGTTTTTCTAGAGAAAGTTAGTCGACACAAAGATGATATATACATATATGCAAATTTTATTTCATAAATTTATCGATTTTTGTTTGTTTGTTTATTTCGGGTTATTTTTTCTTTCTTTGTTTTCCTATTTTTTTGTTATACAGCTTTTTTATGACAGGTTACTTGAGTTTAGGTTTTGAATTAGCCGCTGAATTAACCTATCCAGAAAGTGAAGGTCTCTCCTCTGGTCTATTGAACACTTCAGCACAGGTAAGTAGAAACTGCAAAAACACTAATGAACTTCATTCATTCAAACAATCTAACTGAATTGTGAACAATTAGAGGCTTCGTTTAGGATTCTCTGTTTTTTAAGTACTGGTTTTGAAGGCAGTTAGAATTCACGGGCCATTGGATCAGGTACCAGTGGCTTAATCGTCTACCAGGTCGCTCGCCTTGTAGCCAGAAGGTCCTGGGTTCGAACCCCTGTGGTGGGCGCCTACTGCTGACGAGTCCCTAACTAGGCTGATGAAACAACTGTCCTGTACTCCGGTGATGGTTTTCCAATGGTTCTCTGACTGATGTCAGCTCATGATGACGTTCTCGTGCCTCGGTGGGCGCGGATCGAACTCTGGACCATATACATGGTCGGCGAGCGCCCTAACCACTGTGCCACTGACGGATAAGCAGTGCACTTAAGATGTTGAACAGGTTTACTGTTGATGCGGAATCGTTCCAATTAAAGGCGCGGGCATGGAGGAAGATGTCAAAGCCAAATAAGATTTCGATTTTCAACACACTTATGTCAAATCAGTTATTCTATACAAAATATACAAACTTGATGTGCATGTCGCCAAAAGTATTTACAACTGGCTAATTCAGATATTCATCAACAGCTGTCTTCAGTGAGGTGATAGTGAAGAACAGACGGCAAGCCAAAAACGATCAACATGGCAACAAGAAGCGAAGCAAACCATGAACATATTGCTAAATAAATATTTATAAGGAGATGGAGACGGGTGGATTGGGCATACATTAAGGAAACTGTTGAGTGATACCACACGCTAGACTGGTCTTCTGTGCATCGACAGTGCAGGGGTAGAAGGCTCGTCAACCGCACATGTGGTCCGAAGGTCGATCTCCAGTCTATGCCAGCAATAAAACCGGTTAAAGGGAAGGTTGAACGTAACGTTAGCAACCACACCTCGTAAAAATAAATATTTTACCGCCACCGAAACTTCAAAGATCTAGCTTGTTGAAGCCCTATGTTCCATTGGGAATGTTAAATACTTCAACACAAAAAGACTGATCCTCTACTGGAAACCGGACAGGAAGTGCTGAGTTCAGCGTACGTCCGAAATAGAACATGGAGAGGAAATCAAATGATGAAGAAATGACAGCTTATTGGTAATCATTCAGCCAAGTAGATAACAGGTTGAAATGAAGAGGTACTGCTGAAGGAATCTTTCCCTTTCAGTGGAAACCTGAAGGAATAATAATTTGAGCATACAACAGGAGTTAATGATACTACTCTTCAAGCTTTTATGAAATTTAAAATAGAACACCACCACCATTAGTTCAGCGGCTGGCAGTAAGATCGATAAGGAGGAAAGATTAAGCGTGAGGTTAGCTACTGTAATCTGTAAGAAATAAAACCGCTGCCGCTAAAACTTCAAGCCCTATATTCCAGTGACAACGAAAAACAACAACTTATCTTAAAGAAACAGAATTTTCCCTTCTGGCATTGATTGCATCATCATTATAGTTGCTGAAACTTTTTTCTGTCTAACAGCACACTTTCAAACATTCTGAGGTTGTCAGCTCCTTCAACTAGAGCTCCTTTCACAGCCCTTTAAATCCGACAAGTCATCTGATATTATAATTTCTTTGCAATTGGTTATTTTGATGTGAATAATGATTTTGTCTGTTTACTCTTTCTTCACCCCCCATTTTGAACACGCACACACCCTCTCCGATACCCTCGACTTTCAACAAAATCTAGATCTTTGGCCTTATTTTAATTCATGTGGCAACTACACTGAGAACACATCATGGTGTTCTACCTGGCAATCTGTTTCTCACTGCTTTATTAGTACTTGGATCAATAATGACAGGTGAGTAGAAGTGTCGCTGCCTATTTATTTTTTTGTTTTTATTCACATATTCTTTTTTTTTCAGGCTTTTAAAAAAATTTAAATAATGTTGGCTTACTAAGTCAGTTGATCATTGAAAACCTGGGGCAGATTAGACGGCTGTTTTTTGTTCTAATTTGAGAATCTTTGGCAAGTATGCACTCTTGACCCTAAGGGGGATCATATCGTGGACCGTTCAGTTGCTGATCACACAATCCAGTGTCTTATGACTTCTTAATACTGACAATTAGCGATATATATATGTATATATAGAACGGCGTATCTCAAGTCTTTATTAACCTCATTCAGCACCTATATGACAGTGGCACTTGTCGGGTAATCCACAACTGAAAACTCAGCGAGGCGCTCGAAGTGCATACAGGAGTAAGACAAGCCTGGATGCCTATTATCACTCACGATGATATTGTTAATTGTGATTAACTGGTTTATGCGCAAGACTGCCCACAGGGAGTGAAAAGACAGGGATACGCTCCATCTAGAAGATGTTTAATATCACACAAACTCGAAGACACGCAGGTAGGCGAAAACCAACAAAGTGGCTGAAGAATTAGCGAAGGCAGGGCTGCAGGTGAACACAGAGAGAAGATGGAGGTGATGAAGATAACCAACCAACCAACGAACAGCAACAACAACAACCAACACCAATCACCAACAACGGGAGAGATTTAACAGAGGTCACCGCCTTCCTTCACTTATCTAGGAAGCATCGTTTCAATTAGATGTCAAAGTCAGAATCAGAAAGGCAAGATACGCCTTCAGCAACCTGAAAGCAGTTTGGAAATCTTCTACACTGTCTCAGCATAAGGAACAAGATTCGCATTTTCAACATTGTCGTGTAACGAAAAGTATTTTCAACAGGTTGCAGACTTTCTTCAACAGCTGCCTTCTTCGCTGGCTCCATACTGAAGATCAAATGGCTGGCCAGAAAAAATTAGCAACACACTAACTAAGGGCCAATCGCTCAACAAATATGTGGGAGAAAGTAGAGATGGGTACGCTGGGGATACATTGAAGCGACCATAGAATGACAGCACGGTCTCTAACTATATGTAATTGTTACTATGTTTTTTGTTACCACCCTAACAACAAACTTGTCGATTGATTTTCTAGGAACTTCTCTCTAACAAGACACATACAAACGTATATATACATTTATATACTTACACTTCAGTTACCTTGTCATCCTGATGTTTTACCTCACTATTATACGCTTAAAGCATACTTGTTAATGACAAAAGTATGTTAGAATTTCACACTGACTTTCATTGAATAAAGATGATAGCTTTTATACAGTTGATGAGGGGAACCAACGAAATAAAATGGATCCATGTTATTCTGCATCAATGTTTGTTCTATTGAAATGTGGTGAAGAACCCTTAGTGGTGCTGCTGGAAAAGCATCAGGACCAGATGGAATCTCAGTAGAAGCATTGAAAATGGACCCAGAGACAACAGCGGACTTGATGACGTCACTACTGGAGAAGGTGTGGAAAGAAGGCAAAGTACCCGAGGACTGGAAGAAAGGATACTTATTCAAACTACCAAAGAAAGGAGACTTAAGTCAATGCAAGAACTGGCGCGGAATTATGCTCCTGTCCATCCCAAGCAAAATACTAAGCCGCATCATCCTGGAGAGAATCAAACATGCCCTGGATGAAAAACTTCGACCGGAACAGGCTGGATTCAGGAGGAACAAGTCATGCATTGATCAGATCGCCACATTACGGATCATCATTGAACAAAGCTTGGAATGGCAGTCACCTCTCTATCTCAACTTCATCGACTTCGAAAAGGCCTTCGACAACGTCGATCGAGAGGTGATTTGGCAACTACTTCGCTACTATGGGGTGCCACCAACAATTATACATCTCATCCAACAGCTGTACGACAATGCTGCATGCCAAGTAATCCACAACGGGAAACTTACGGAATCCTTCGAAGTGAGGACAGGAGTAAGACAAGTTGGCTGCCTACTATCGCCAATGATTTTTCTGATTGCAGTAGACTGGGCAATGCGACAAACAGCGGGCAATAAGGAAACAGGCATAAGATGGACTCACACAAAAAACTTGGAGGATCTGGACTTCACCGATGATATATGTCTGATTTCCCACAAACTGGAAGATATGCAAGCGAAAAGCAACAAGTTGGCAGAAGAAGCATCAGAGATAGGACTTCAGGTGAACATAGAGAAAACAGAGGTGATGAAGATTCCTGGGCAACACCACCAACAGCAACAACAACAACAGACAACAATCAGCCAGTATAAATGGGAGGAACCTGAAAGAAACAACCTCTTTTACCTACCTGGGAAGCATCGTTTCAACTACAGGCACACGGAACTGACGAGGATATCAAAGCAAGAATCGATCGGAAAAGCAAGACAAGCTTTCACTACTCTCAAATCTGTGTGGAGGTCAACAGCACTCAGCATCAAAAATAAGATCCGGATTTTCAACTCCAATGTGAAGTCAGTCACTGCTACTATACGGATCAAAGACTTGCACTGCGCGTCATAAAGAGCATCTCAAACAAACTACAGACCTTCATTAACAGTTGTCTTCGCTCAATACTCAAGATCAGATGGCCGGCCAGAAAAGATCAGCAACAGAGATCTCTGGCAATGAGCGAACCAACATAGCAGGAACCGATTGTGAAACAAATAGGCAGGAAGAAATGGAGATGGATTGGCTGGCCATACTCTGAGGAAACAATCATCAAGTGACATCACTAGACAAGCCATTGCTCGAGTGGAACCCGGCCGAAAGGGAAGCGGCGAGTTGGTCGTCAGTGCAAGGGTGACTTGGAGGAGGTCATGTGAAGAGGAGATGAAAACGTGTGGGCAGACTTGGAGCCAGGTGAAGACTCTAGCAGAGAACCGAACGCAATGGAGACGCACGGCTGAAGCCCTATGTTCCTCTAGGAATTAAAGGAAACAATAATAATAATAGACAGGATAGATTTCAACTATCTTGAGGGTGAATTTCATCCTTTTCTGGCCTGCCGAATAGTGTGTCGTGTAGAAATCAATCCACTAGAATAGTTAGAGTTGTATATTTGTATGAGTAGGAGATATGACTAGATCGACAGTCATATTTGGTTCCAGGGTGATTATTAGATGATTCATAGAAGAATGAGAACTGCTTTCCACAACAGAAAGTCGTGTTTATCGCTCCAGATGAATGTTAGCGTAGACTCTTCATTGGAGTGTCTCCTTTGATTTGTAGGATCAAAGAGGGCGCTGATGTTAAGTGAAAAGTCTGTCATTTTTGGCGTGTACATTGCACGAAACAGCTGTCCAGTACTCCCAGCTGGTTTTCCAATGGTTCTCTAACTGATGTCAGCTCATGATGAAATCCTCCATGCAATCAAACTGTCAGCAGTTAGAATTCATGGGCCCAGTGGCTGCCTGGTCTATGAGCTTGTCTTGTAACCGGAAGGTCCTGGTTTCTAAACCCATTGAGTGTGTACCGCCAGTGAGTTGCAAACTAGGCTGAGGAAACAGAGAGCTGTCCAGTAAGTACTCCAGTGCTGGAGTTTTGTTAATGGTTCTCTAACTGATATCAATCCGTGTGGTCCAATGTGAAAAAAATAGATTCCCTACAAAAACCAGTTCTTGAAAATATATGAACTATTTATTGATCATTTCTTAAACTCAACATTTTTTTTCATTGTTTTTTTTCCATTCAGTATGTATTAAGGAGAATCTTCTTCGTCAACAAGCTCATGAACGTGTAAGTACAGGCATGCATTCATGCATTTAATAAAACTTTTTATTCCAAATAATCATTTTCATATGAGGTAGAATTTTCAACACTGATATATACAGTGACAATTTTTCCCCTTTATCCAAATCATATAAAAAATTAGATATTCAGTAAATCTGAAGTTAACAGAAGATTAACATACGTGTCGTATGAATGCTGGTTATAATTTGCTATTTATTCAATAGTGTTGCGAAGTAGGTTAATAAGTTCTTGAGCGAACAATTGTTTCCGATAACTTCTTCAGCTATATCTACAGTTATAAATCCATGAATAGTAGAGTACATATAGCCAATAAAGGTAAATGAAAATAATATCAGAAACTGTATTGGGGTGTATGTGTAAGTTGAGATGATAGTCCATTAGTTAACATAATCAATCAAATGTGTATAGGGTGTGTAGTCAGAAAAATGTGATGCAGTGTGAATGAACAGTTGGGTGATATAGTGCTGTTTTATAGTCAACAGAATACAAGTGTCATTGGGGTGAGAGAAATGCGATAAACACAAAATACATACAAACACAGTAACAAAGGGGACACTGAATGTGAGGGCTGACCGATAATGTCTAATGATAAAATAAAGAGGTTAAATTGTAAATTGTAATAACATGTCACAGAGTTGGTAGGCTAAGTATAAAATCACCAAGGTTGACAAAATTAAGGGTAACAATGAGATGATATCACAAAATGATAATAATGGTAATAATAATACGGAAAATTATGATCCTGGTGACCTTATAGTGGGCTAGGGTAGACAGAGAGAGTGAATAAGTTTTTTCTGTACACATAAGTCTAGTCTTTCTCTATTAAACTCTAAAGCCTCAGCTATGGCTAGGAGGCATAATTGTGTGCCTTTGGGGAGATTGTTCGGTACTCGATACACAACTGTAAATGACTCATCTACTTTGACGCTGTGTTCGCTATCCACTAGATGAGACAGAATTGCACTATTTGATGATTTGGTTGCTCTTTCCCCAAGCCAGACAGGAATATGTTCACGAGTGCGTAAAGATAGATTCCTTTGGGTACGACCTATATAACTAGCTTCACAGGAGCAGTTGAATTTATATACACACACTGATGTCGCCATTCTGGGTAATCTATCTTTAATGCACAGTGTCAATGTTGGTTTGGTTGGTTCATGGATTTATAACTCTAGAGTCCGAAGAAGAAGTTATCGAAAACAATTGTTCGCTAAAAATCTTGTTTTATTAAGTTCTTCTATAACATTTGTCTCTTATTCTTTCTCTCTTCACACAAAATCCGTGCTAAATATCGTTGGTATGGTAGAATTTTTTATATTTAATAGCTGTACGAGCATAATTGCTTATGAAACTTCTTCCGGTTTTTTCGCGAAGAGATGCAAGGTGGAAGTAGGAAATTACAAAGAGAGCGCGGAATTATGCTCCTGTCCATCTCAAGCAAAATAGTATGCCGCATCGTCCTGGAGAGAATCAAACATGCCCTGGATGAAAAACTTCGACCGGGACAAGCTGGATTCAGGAGGAACAAGTCATGCATTGATCAGATCGCCACACTACGGATCATCATTGAACAAAGTTTGGAATGGTAGTCAGCTGTCTATCTGAACTTCATCGACTTTGAAAAGGCCTTCGACAGCGTCGATCGGGAGGTGCTTTGGCAACTACTTCGCTACTATGGGGTGCCACCGACAATTATACATCTCATCCAACAACTGTACGACAATGCTGCATGCCAAGTAATCCACAACGGGAAACTTACGGAATCCTTCGAAGTGTGGACAGGAGTAACACAAGTTGGCTGTCTACTATCGCCAATGATTTTCCTGATTGCAGTAGACTGGATAATGTGACAAACAGCGGGCAATGAGGAAACAGGCATAAAATGGACTCACACAAAGAACTTGGAGGATCTGGACTTCGCCGATGATATATGTCTGATTTCCCACAAACTGGAAGATATGCAAGCGAAAAGCAACAAGTTGGCAGAAGAGCATCCAGAGAAGATAGGACTTCAGGTGAACATAGAGAAAACAGAGGTGATGAAGATTCCTGGACAAGAACAACAACAACAGACAACGATCAGCATAAATGGGAGGAACCTGAAAGAAACAACCTCTTTTACCTATCTGGGAAGCACCTTTTCAACTACAGGCGAACGGAACTGACGAGGATATCAAAGCAAGAATCGGAAAAGCAAGGCAAGCTTTCACTACTCTCAAGTCTGTGTGGAGGTCAATAGCACTCAGCATCAAAAATAAGATCCGGATTTTCAACTCCAATGTGAAGTCAGTGCTACTCACTGTTCAGATCAGAGACTTGGCGCGTCATAAAGAGTATCTCAAACAAACTACAGACCTCCATTAACAGCTGTCTTCGCTTAATACTCAAGATCAGATGGCTGGCCAGAAAAGATCAGCAACAGAGATCTCTGGCAATGAGCAAACCAACTCAGCAGGAACCGATTTTGCAACAAATAGGCAGGAAGAAATGGAGATGGATTGGCCACACTCTGAGGAAACCAGCAAGTGACATCACTAGACAAGCCATTGCTCGAGTGGAACCCGGCCGAAAGGGAAGCGGCGATTTGGTCGTCATTGCAAGGGTGACTTGGAGGAGGTCATGTGAAGAGGAGATGAAAACGTGTGGACAGACTTGGAGTCAGGTGAAGACTCTAGCAGAGAACCGAACGCAATGGAGACGCGTGGCTGAAGCCCTATGTTCCTCTAGGAATTAAAGGAAACAATAATAATAATAGTACAAAAACCCTACCAACTAAATTTTTAAAGAATTCAAATGCCTATCAACAACAATATCAATAGTCACCTGAGTCAAAGACACACCACGAACCCCACTTACATACCAAGAAGGAGCAGAATGCGTGTATTATTAAAAAAATTGAGTGAAGAGGTTGAGTTATGCTAGCTGAATGTCTCACCTTCCTCATGTGTGACACCCCAAACAAACAAAAGATTTTCTTAAGAAACGAGGAATAAAAACGATTAGGTGAAAAAACAGAAGCCATTTATCTATCTATACTAGTAATAATAATTAATCATGGGGAGTGAATCGGTTCACGTATGAAAATAAAATCAACATTCTGATATCAACAAAATTGACTTCCTCATAGTCTGAACCAAAGGGGGAATTGATCTTCACATTCTACTCTATAGGTGGTCGAAACTTTCAGTCACAAAACTTCCCAAAGACAACAAAATGACGGGTCTTCAAACAACAACAACAAAAATAAAGTATTGCTTTTGTAGGCATTTTGTTTGATTGGTTGAAGAAATTCATCATGAGCAGACATCCTCCAACCAATCAAACAAACAAAATTCCCTACAAAACCGATACTTGAAAATTCATCTGATGCTCACTAGCGACTGACTCTGTTCAGGTAGGTAGTTACTTGGGGTTCTAGTGGGAAGCCGTGACCAGTAGGGTACAGCAGGTTGAAGAAGGTGAGACAGTGACTCATCGAAGAAGACATTGCGAAGTGGTCGTGCTATGCGATGAATTGCCAGAAGTTAGAATTATTGGTCTTATTGGCGATTGGACTGTTGGGTCCCAGAAGGTTCTGGGTTCGAACTCCATTTGGTGGTTGCGTACTAATGAAGAGCTTCAAACTAGGCTGACGAAACAGCTGTCTGGCAGTACTCTTAGGTTTCCCAATTGTTCTCTAACTGATATCTCAGCCTATGATGAAATCCTCCAACCAATCAAAAATAACATCAGAAAAAATTCAACTGTAAGAGGTCCCTTAGAATCAAGAAGAATGTCGCCAACAACGTGGGATGAAAGCTGTGCCAGGAATAATCACACACCAACAACTGCTGCACACAATTCAAGGTCAAAATCACCTTGATGATATTTAAACAAAGCCACATTGTAAAACAGCAAACACAGTACCATAGAGAAGCATTCAAATTAGAGATTAACACAGTGACGAGAACAAATAATCAAGATCATATCAAAATATGATATTGTTCCCTTGGGTTCCTAGTGGAACATAGGGCTTCAACTGCACGCCTCCACTTGCTGCTGTCTTCGGCTGTACTTTTCACTTGCATCCATGTTAATCCATACTGTTTCAGTTCCTCATCACACCATCTCCTCCATGTCACTCTTGGACGTCCCACTCGCCTCTTCCCATTCGGGTTCCACTCGAGCGATGGCCTGACGCGCGATATCACCCAACGGCCTCCTCAGCGAGTGTCCAATCCATCTCCACTTTCTCCTGCATATTTGTTGAGCGATTGGTTCTTGTTTTGTTTGTTCCCATAGCTTCTTGTTTGTGATTCTTTCCGGCCATCTAATCTTCAGTAGTATAGAGCGAAGACAGTTGTTGATAAAGGTCTGCAATAAGCTGCTGGAAATATTCTTTGTGACCCGCCAACTTTCTCATCCGTATAGAAGAACTGAGTGACTTGACGTTTGTATTGAAAATCCGAATTTTGTTGTTGATGCTGAGTGACGAAGATTTCCAGATTGGTTTCAGGTTGATGAATGTGTTTCTCGCCTTCCGGATTCTCGATTTGACATCCTCGTCCGTTCCTCCTGTAGTTGAGACAATGCTCCCTAGATAAGTGAATGAAGTCACCTCTTTCAAATCCCTCCCGTTGATGGTGATTGGCGCTGTATGTTGTTGTTGTTGGTTGGTTGGTTATTTTCATAACCTCCGTCTTGTCTATGTTCACCTGCAGTCCTGTCATCACTGCTTCTTCGACCAGTTTGTCGGTTTTCGCTTGTAAGTCTTTGATTTTGTGTGGCATCAAACATAAATCATCCACGCGCGAAATCCATGTCTTCTAGGTTCTTCACGTCGGTCCAGAATATCCCTGTCTTCTTGTTTCCCACTGTCTGACGCATAATCCAGTCCACCAGAATTAGGAATATCATTGGTGATAATAAGCACCCCTGTCTGACTCCTGTGTTTACTCCGAATGCTTTGCTGAGTTTTCCGTTGTGGATCACTTGACATGTGCCGTTGTCGTACAGCTGTTGAATGAGGTTGATGAATATTTGGGGTACGCCGTAGTACTCGAGCAGTTTCCAAATTACTTCGCGGTCAACGCTGTCGAAGGCCTTCTCAAAGTTTATAAAGTTGAGGTAGAGGTTTGATTGCCATTCCATGCATTGTTCGATGATGATGCGTAGAGTAGCAATTTGGTCAGAACATGATTCGCCCTTCCTGAATCCAGCTTGTTCTGGTCGGAGTTCTGTATCCAGTGCGTCCTTTATTCTCTCCAGGATGTTGCGACTCAGGATTTTACTTGGCGTCGACAGGAGCATGATTCCTCGCCAGTTCTTGCAGAGTTCTAAGTCGCCCTTCTTTGGTAGTTTCACTAGGTAGCCTTTCTTCCAGTCAGTAGGCACCTTTCCCTTCTTCCAGATCTTTTGCAATAATGGAGTCAGCATATAATATAATAATATCAAAATATGATATGCAAATCTCAGAACAACAATGATATACATTCTAGGAGAAGAATGGATCATACGGACAAAGTTAGACATTTGTAAAGTCACAGCGAAAGTGAAATGAGTAATTCCAACGTTTCCTGTGTTCGGCAAACTGGTCCAAACTTCTTCAAGAAAATTCATCGAAATTAACATAACAGAGGTTTATATTTAGAAAAAGGACATCTCTTGTTTTTAAAAACTTTGTCATCAAAATATAATAAACAACAAAGAGGTTTGTACCAGTTTGCCGAGCGCAGGAAACGTTGAAATTACTCATTTCAATTTCGCTGAGATTTTATAAAGATAACTTTTACAAATGTCTACTTCTCACTCGGCGGCCAATTACTATTTTGGAGCTGTTCGGCCGAATCTTGATAAAAATATTATTATTCAAAACACCCCAATAAGTAAGTATGGATATTGGAATTAGGATCGTTTTGGAGAAGTTTTAAAAGACAGTGACTTTTTAAAGAGAGGTTCACTTAAGGACTATTTGAATGAATAATACATATATATATATACATCTCATAAGAGTAAAGTATCTCGTAAAAAATTGAAAAATTTTGTTATTAGGATGATGTTAAGTCGGTGATGATTGCATAATCACAGCTAATAAACTACAGTTGTGGTGGTGGTGTGATACAGAAAACCAACACTGGAGTACTGGACAGCTGTTTCGTTAGCCTAGTTTAGGACTCTGTTTCAGCAGTACGCACCCACCATACGGGGTTCAAACCCAGGGCCACCCGGTTTCAAGGCGAGCTAGCTTGTAGACCATTGAGCCACTGGGACCTGATCCAATGGTCCTTGAATTCTAGCTTCTGCCAATTCATGACATAGCGCGATCACTTCTCAATGTCTTCTTCGATGAGTCACTGTCTCACCTTCAACCTGCTGTACCCTGCTGGTCACGGCTTCCCACTAGAACGCCAGGTTAACTGCTTGAATAGGGCTAGTCGCTAGTGAGCATCAGATGAATTTTCAACTACTGGTACTCCCAGGTTTTCCAGTGGTTCTCTAACTTATGTCAGCTCATGATGAAATCCTCCAATCAACCATTGTACTTGTTGGTGTTAACGTCTGAATTCTATTCGCACAGCTCAATACTGCATTAGCTACAGAATAATATATATATATATGAATTTGAACATTCTATTTCATGTCGTTTAATGTAAGCGAAAATCACACGCTCAGTGAATGGTTATAGAATATAAAGTGTATAGATGTAAATCACTGTTTGATCACTTGAAGAAAATATACCTTGGCTTCCGTGTCTTGCCTTTTGCACGTCCAGTGATTAGAATTTATAAGATTACAGAATCACAATTTCTGTGTCTTGAATGTTGAATGAAAAGGTCACGATGATGACGTAATCCACTGGGTAGAATTTTAAGGGTCAAAACTTTAAATGTAAAATGAAGGTCAATCAAAAAATGAGGTGATAAGAGGTTGAAACAAAATGATAAAATCATACAACAAATAGTTACTATGGCCAGAGTTATCAGGTGAATTGAAGACACACAACAGATGCTATTTAGTGGAGATATGCTTCAGGTTTCAACCATTTTTTATTGCTTATAGCTTCAACAAATCGAAGAATAGTTGAGCTGTTTTCGTTGCTGTCAACACTGTTGAACTGCCGTGTGGTGCTGAAATATTACTATTGTCTGTCTGTCTGTTTTCGACATAGAACTTTGCACATATATGTGCGGCAGTTCAAGTCGCCACACTCCATGTAGCACACAAAGCAAGAGAACAAAGTAGGAGAAATGCATAATAGAGACAGTAAACAGAGGTGTGAGACAAAGGAATAGTAATAACTAGGAACAAAACAGTTTCACTGGGAATCTGTGCCGTTGAGAAAGATTTTGAGCCATATCACCAATTTTCTCCAGCCTTCATTGGTTTTTACCGTCCCGAGGACCCCAACCAGGAAGTCTACACCTTCCTACCACTTCACGCGGGAGATAGAACGCAGACACCTATGATCAAAGACAGCTAATCTTTTCATGTCTTCCACTCTCAATGGCCAGGTCTCACAGCCATAAAGGAGGACTATTGTATTAGACATGAATCAGTATATGAAGTAGGGCTGGGGTGAAGGTTGGGGTGGGGGACAGTTGCAACTGTTAATCTCTTCAGATCAGATCAACAATTTTTGTTTTTCAGCGATTTAGGTAAGGGTTAGAAAACTATAGTTAATTTTACACTGTGTACCTTTTGTAATCATTTTTATTTTCTGGCTATTGAGAAAATTGATAATTTCGTAATATTTATTTAAATGTTTTTTTGTCTGTGTTACAATAATTATTACAAAAGACTACAGAACAATAAATATGCACACACACACACTATCGGTAGGTTATTCGCAATCTGCTATGAAAGTGGATGTTGCTTATGCTCTGCTCCGCTCATCATCAACAATATCATCATCATCTGCTAAAACTAACAAACAAAAGAGTTTAAATGAGTACTACTCATCTTATTCCGCCCCCCCCCCCCAGCTTTATTTCCTTGTGTGTCTTTCATTTTATATTGTAATATATACATATATATATATATTCCCGCTGTTGGTGATTTTGATTATTTCTTACGATATCTTCCCCCACCCTACCCCCCTTGATGAACTTTGAACTAAGTAAGCAGGTTGGGTAATATGATATCATCAACTTTTTTTAATCTGTCAGTTCTTGTCAACTGCACTCAAGCTGGATCACAAGCTGATAATATCGATTAGAGAACCATTGGAAAACCTAGGCAGTACTGGAGAGCTGCTTCGTCTTAGTCTGAGATTCTTCATCGACATAGTAAACCCACGACGGGTTCAAATCAATAACTTTCCGGTTACAAGGTTAGCTTGTGGGTAATTCAGCCCACTGGGAGCTTACTCCATAGCCAATGTATTCCAACCTTTGTCAATTCGTTGTATAAAGTGAAACCGTCAACCAGTGTCATCGGGAAGTGACTGTTCTCTCTTACCTGAATCCATGGACTCCATATGGTGACAAATTCACATGTAACATGAATATTCTACAGTGAAGAAAGGAAGTTGAGCACTAATTATTATTATTATACTTATTGTGCTTATTATTCGCTTGGATTCCTAGTGGAAAGATCATACCGGCTTCAGCAGAGTATCTCGACATTACCCTGATCTCTGTAGTAGTTTTTTTAGTTGTCTCCATGATTGCTTAAGCATTCTTTTCCTCAGTCTCACACTATGGTCTCCATATTACCCTTGAACCTATCTATATCTAGTTCATATTTTCATAAGAGAAATTCCACATCGTCTCCTCAGAGTATCCCCTATCAATCTCTTATTTTCATGGCCATATTTATGGACAAAAATAGGTTCTCGGCTGGTTTGTCATTGTTGATAATCCTTTATTGTCGGTCACTTTTTCTTCAGTACCATGAGGAAGTGGCGGTAGGATATTATTTAAGGGTGTATATGTATTCCAACCACATGTTACATAATGTATTTGCTTGTCACTTGTTGCGTAAGAGTTGTAAAACACTTTGATGTTTTCAACTAACTCACTGCAGAAACCTCACTTAACTGATATTGAAGATAAGAGGTTAGGCATGAGGCTACCAACCTCACCGGAATGTAAAAATAGTAACACGCCAGTCAGACGTGAAATTTCGGCGTGCCTCAAATCTTTATCAGAGAGGCATTCGAAGTGAATACAGACTGTAGTTGGACAAGGTTGGTTGCCTATAATCACCGTTGATACTCTTAATTGGAGTGAACTGGATTATGCGTCAAACTGTGCACGGAGAGTGAGAAAACAAGAATACACGGCATTGACTGATAAGAAGACACCACCTAAAAGTTCTGGATTTCGCGTGTGCATGATTTATGTTCAATATCACACAAACTTGAAGACTCCAAGGCAGGTGAAAACCAACAAAATGACAGGAGAGGCTAACTGGCAGTGAAGAGAGGGCTCCAGGTGAACATAGAGACTATGGATATGACGAAGATAACCAACCAAAAAACCACAACAACAACGAGCACTAATCAATGTAAACGGAAGAAATTTGAGACAGCCCATTTACTTTACTTATCTGGACAGACAGCACCATCTCAAGTACCAGTGACAGCGTGGACGAAGACGTCATAATGATAGTCAGAAAGCAAGGTACCCCTTAAACACTCAACAGGTTACAGACTTCTTTCAGAAGCTGTCTTTTCTCTGTATTGAAGATCAAATGGCCGGCCAGAAGGAATTAGCAACAAGAAACTCAGCAGATATTTAGGAGAAAATGGAGATGTGTTGGTCGGGCAAATGTTGAGAAGGCCGTCGAATGATAACGCGCGCAATTCAAGTCATCGCTGGAGTTGACCCTGAATAGGAATTGACTAGCTAGGCGTTGATCCGAGCTTGACATAGAGGTGATTGTGTGGCAAGGAGGAGATGACAGATTATTAGCAGTCGTAGGCTCACCTAAAGAGGACCGCAGAAAAGAAGACAAGATGCAAACGTGCTTTTGAAGCCGTACGTTCCACACTGAACCGCAGGGGAGAATAACAGTGATCATGCAGAGGTCAAATATTCAAGTTAAGAGTGTGAATGGAGACAAAATGTCAATTAAGAGATATGAGATAACATTGTGAAAATTAATTAAGGGAAGAAACATTTATAGTGTGTAACTGGACAGCTGTTTCATCCTAGTTTGGGAATCATCGTCAGTAAGCAATCATCACCAGGCTTCAAACCCAGGACCTTCTGGTTACAAGGCAAACTTGTATACCATTCAGCCACTGGGACTCAATTAAATCGCCAACCCATGAATTGTAACTTCTACCAATTCGTGATTTAGCGTGACCACCAACCAATGTCGTCGGTGGGACATCCATCCTCACACTTGACATTTGGATGAACCTCACTGGTCACGACTTATTACTAGAACTCCAGGAGAAGATGAGAAAAGTAGGGTGCATCATGTGTCGGATGTAAACTGATGACGTAGCCCAGTTGTGTGTTGTCAAACACATTTCTAACAGGCTGCTTCAGACTCTCCTATCAATAGCTTCCTCCGCTAGCTCCATGCTGAACATCAGATGGCTGGAACTAACCAAGAGCCTATTGCCCAACGAATTTGACGAAGAAGATGGAGGTGGAATGGAAACACAAACACACACACACACACTAAGCGGACCATTGAGTGACACCTGGAATCGAATGAAACTCCGACGGGAATCGACAAGTTGTATATCCGTCTGAAGACGACATGGAACAAATCATGTGAGACGGAGATGTAAGCTTATAGGCAGTCGTGGAGCTAGCTAGAAAAGACGCCACAAGGACACAGTGAATTGAAGATATGCGGTTAAATCTCTTTTGTTTCACTCGGATCCTAGGGGAACATTGAAAACATACTAGTATTGATTGAAATTATCATACATGTTTTTGAAATATCACACAGGTGGTAAGTGACTGTACTACATAATATATGCTAATAAAATTTTACACCCCTTATAAGAATGCCCACCCTCTTCTCTTCACTCTTAGTATATTCTTCTAGCTTTTCTATATTAACCAACAATCCTACCGGTATCTGAAGCTCAGCCTTCTTTCAACTTCTCGTGCACTCTCTTACATAAAATTATTGTTTGTTGTCTCTTGTCTAATTAATTAAAGTATGTTAAAAGTTTTCTTGCACAGTCTTCATCGGAAGTCTTCCCACCTCATTGGGTGGTGTCTCTCTATGCAGTTTTCGATAAATATTGAGATTTTACCTGTTTTATGCTGTAGGCAGTTTACAAGTACTGACGGAATAACATGAGGTGATGTCATATTACCCTACCCATCAATTTTTATGCCTATATTCTTCAAGCTCTGATAATTTTTATTATGTCTTGATGGTTACTGTGAACTTTGCTTCTACTATTTATTGTTTCTGCCAACGTTCCGTTGTCAAACTAAACATCCTATTCAGGATTTTGCCAATTTTTATTAAAAATAACTAATCAATTTTCACTGCTCTGATATCGATTATTTTAAGCTATTAAAAATAGGTTAATTGATAAAGCAGGATTTCATGAATTCATCAAATTTCGGTAGAATTCTTCACTCAGTCGGTAGATGGTGACTATCAGTAGTGGAATCCATTATGCGGATTTCGTCCTATTTTGGGACTCGTCATCTGGATATACCTGAGCCACCAACTGACGTTGAGTTACGTGAACAGACATCGTTAAAGCATCTGCATAAGGAGCCGACATTTCAACCTTAGACTGCGCACTTCGCACAGTCAATCGCTGGGAAAATCTAAAGTTGAAGCAAAGGATTCTTCAGGATCTTTATAAATGGTAATAATCTACAAGAAGTAGTTGAATGAAGCCTTGACAGAGATTACAAAAGCTTATTACACATTTATATGCTACAAAGCTCGTATTCTTCAACAGCAGCAGGTGGGTGTTTGAACAATCTTTGAAAGACCAAATGGGCAATCTTCGACACCTGGAAAGGGATAACTCTGAAAAGAGTAACTCCTTGCTGAATAGATTTTCCTCATTACAACCTCCACCTGTGTATACCAATTTCAGTGGGACTGTGGACAGAATGGAGGTGTACTGCTGAAACGTCATGTTTCGCTCGCAGTCCAAAGGAATAATAATAATCCCCCTACTAATACTGCTCTTCATAGTGCGTATACATAAAACAAAACTGCATGTAGAGTATTCAGCTGCTGAGAAGTAGTTCTACCGAAGACTGATGAATTCATCACAGCCTGACGTCTTAACACAATTTTTAACCGGTTTTAAATTCCAATATTGGGAGATAAATGTTCCCTTTTCTCCAAACCCCTGGGGAAAACAAACGAATCTGTTTGAATAGCTTACTTGGTGATGGTGTTAACATAATAGCTCTTTTCTTTTTCGCTGTGTGTATATGCGTGCTTTGAATTAAAGAGTTATATAATCTTCTTGGTGTATGTTGGGCGATAAATTAGCTGTCTTTTCCTTATATGGAGAGCTTTGTCAAGCATTATTGTAAACACTTTAATTGTTTTCAGTTTTGACCTGGGAAGCCGTTTTGTCCTTACCTGTGACTCTTCATCAGGATCCCCTCACAACCCCATCCACAGAGAATTGAAACCAGAACCTTTTGCTAACGAGATGAAACTATTCACCATTTTGGCCGACAGGTTCCATGGCCCGTGAATTCTAGCTTTCTTCCAATTTCTGACATATAACGTGACCGTCAGTCAGGATGAACTTGTCCAGCTATGACTCCACCGGGAATCAAACCAAGAGGTACAAGAGGAAATCCTGGCTTGCTTTCAATCTAAAGTGATGGAGTCATTGGTGCATAGTACTAGAGAGTCCCGAAACATGTATGAAACA